GAATAATGAAGAATCAGCGAATCACTTCATAATGTGGATGAACTTGGAGGACATTATGTTGAGTAAAATAAGTCAATCAGAAGGAGAAATATTGCATGAGTCCATTATTATAAAAAGTCAAGGAAAGATTTACACAGGGAATGAAATTTTCTTTGTTCTTGACCAGTGATGGGAGGAGTGGGAAAGGCAGGGAAAATAAATGGATAATTAAGACACAGGTTTTATTTGGGTGAAGGAAAACTCAGTATAACAAAAGCATGTGACTAGCACAGTAACACTAACGAAAAGGAAGACACGAAGATACGCACAGAGAGGTACAGCAATAAAGGCAAACACTATTGCACACACACAGTACTGCATTATCACTAATAGCAAACTCTAATCCACAGGTGGATAATACATAGGTAGGCAGGCAGGAAGATCAGGTATGGATAGGCAAATGGGAATATAACCATAACCATACGTAGGTTCGTGAGATGATATTCCTACATATGTATTTCTATGTGCTATAAAAATGTCCATATGCAATTTAAAGCTAACAGGGAGGCAAAGTTGGGATAACGTCTTAGCCACAACTAAGCAACCTGAGGGAGTGAGTTGCTGGATCTGTGGACTGGGGACCACAGGCATGGGGAACATCAAGCTCAAGTGGTACAACATAGTGTACAAAATACTGTATTTTTACCTCAGTGACTAGTGACTCAGGTCTTAAAAGCTTTTGAGCGGCATTCTAAGGTGCAGCTATTAGTCTTCACTCATTTGGAGCAAATAAGAGTGAAGAAAATCAAAGACATATGAAAACCCTTGGTCCAAGGGACTAATGGACCATGAAAATATCAGTCTGTATGACCCTGACACTGGAAGAACTAGATGGTGCCCAGCTACCAATGCCATCTACTGAGAAAAGGATCAAAATTGGAGATCCTGGATACAGTAGGAGAAAAGCGTGGAACAAAATTCAAAATCATCAAAAAGACCAGGCTTATTGGTCTGATAGAGACTGGTGAAACTCTCAAGACTAAGACCCCAAGTCACCCTTTGGGCCTGGAATTGAACTCACTTCCATGGCTTAACTCTCAGCCAAATAAGAGACAAGCCTACAAGCTGAACACCTCGACCAAGGAAGTGCCCTCCTTAGAAAAAATCAACCATGGGAGCTCAGAGGGGGAGCTTTTGTACAGAGAGAAAGATAGGGTGGCGGGAATGTATAGGCAAGCACACAGAGAAGGGGTAACCACGGGAAGGAAGTGTGAGGAGAGGTGATACACTGCAGGGAATGTAACTTGTGTCACAAGACAAAATGTGTAAGAACTGTTGAATATAAAACAAATCTGCTTTGTAAAATTTCACCCAAATCACAATAAAAAGTGCTTTATATATACATACACACACACACATATATATACGCACATTATATATATATACACACATACACACACGTGTGTGTGTATATGTGTATACATACATACATACATACATGTGAGTTTGTGTGTGTGGTTGTTGTGAGGTGCAGTCGAGTTGGCTCTGACACATAGCGACCCTGTGTACAACAGAACGAAACACTGCTTGTTCCTGAGCCAGCCTTGCTATACCATCATTCCGGCCATTGTGTCAATACATCTCATTGAGGGCCTTCTCCTTTTTAGTTGACCCTCCACTTTACCAAGCATGATATCTTTCTCTAGGGATTGGTCCCTTCTGCCAACGTGACCAAAGTAGGTCAGATAAAGTCTGGCCATTTTTGCTTCCAAGGAGCATTCCAGCTGCACTTCCTCCAGGGCAGTTTTTTTTAGTTCTTCTGGTAGTCTGTGGCACTTTCAGTGTTCTTCGCCAACACCACAACTGAAAGGCATCAACTCTTCTTGGATCTTCCTTATTCATTGTCTAGCTTTCACATGCATATGAGGTGCTTGAAAATACCATGGCTTGGGTTAGGCGCACCTTAGTCTTCAAAGAGACATCTTTACTCTTCAGCAAGTTAGAAGAGGTCTTTTGCAGCATGTTTGCCCAATGCAGTACCTTGTCTGATTTCTGAACTATTGCTTCCATTGGTGTTGATTGTGGAACCAAGTAAATATGAAATCTTTGACAACTTCAATCTTTTCTCCATTGGTCGTGATACTGCTTATTGGTCCAGTTGTGAGGATTTTCATTTCCTTTATGTTGAGGTGTAAAGTTTGAAAACCTTATGAATATATATATACACACACACACACACAAATATATATACACATAAATAAATAAATATACACACACACCCCTAGGTATAGAGGCTAAGATTTACAGTATATCACACAATGGAGGAGGACTGTTGCTAAAAGGACCATATTAAGTAATTCACTGCATTGCCACAGTATAGGGGGGTGCTAATGGATCGAGTCTAGGAATGCTGCTAAATATCGTATAATTTTCTATGGTGCACAGGACAGCCTTTCACAACAAAGAATTATTCCATTCAAGATGACAGTAGTACTGGAATTGAGAAAACATTGCCCTAAAATAACTGATTTCCTATGCCTTTGTTTATGTTAAGAGACACTTAGAATTGTTGGTTGCAAGAGCTTCTGTACTTTTAATTAATATATTGATTAATCACCCAGATTTAAAAGTGACAAAACAGAATATATTTATTATTAACATGCCACTCTGGTAATGACAGTGATAGAACAAATATTTTATATGTAACACTGAATAGTACACAGAGTTTTATAGACTGTCTTATTTGCCCTTAGTATCCTTATACAGTTGGTATAATGGGTGTTATCATCTCTATTTATTTGATAAAGGTGTTTATCTATTTCTTCTAGGTTTTAATGATTAAATTACCTTGGATACATAGCAGTTAGTTTTAGAGTAAAGAGATTGTTCATCTGTAAATATGATCTTAACTACTTTTTCTTTTCCAGAAACTCATTTTAGTTCCAGTTAAATACTAGAAAGACAGAGTCTGGGCCTGGAATGTTGAATCCTAGTCTATATCTTCCTTTGACTGGATTTTGTTCTCTCCAAATCAGTACTTCTGATAGAGCTTTCTGTGATCTATACATCTGTGCTTTCCAGTATGATAGCCACTATCCACATGTGACCATTTAAATTTCAGTTAAGATATCATAAATTTTAAAATTCAATTCATTTCATTTGCATCAGCCACAATTTAAGTGCTCAATAGCCTTAGATTATTTTGTAATCTGTAGTTCCCAAAGAGACTTTTATAAATCAACAGCATTGTTACTTAGTTTAAAAAATAGAAATGATCTGAGTCCATCTTAGCGCCTGCTTGTTACTGAGGCTTTGGTTACAGTTACTTAAGCCCATGGGGGAAAGAAGGACATTGCTTTTAATTTCTTAGTAGAAAATGAATGAATATTCCCATTTGATACTCCTTCAGCCAGTTCCTGTCATTAACATCTTGGCTGTTAGCTGTTACGTATTGTTAATATTCACACTGATGCCATCCTTACATGCATAGAAAACATGCTCAACCAGTGGGAGACTACGTGCCTGGAAGCATTCATGCATGTACTATAAACAGTGGCTTTGATCCTCCAACTTCATCTAATCTAATCCCAACCTATGGTTTCCACCTGACTCAAGAGTTACCTCCTGTGACCAACGAGGATGCTACAATTACCCTGTCTCCTTGACAGCCCTGGAAATTCTGTGTGTGTGTGTGTGTGTGTGTGTGTGTGTGTGAGAGAGAGAGAGAGAGAGAGAGAGAGAGAGAGTGAGTGTGTGTGTATGTGTTGGGCACATCTGCATGGTGTAATGTTTTTGTCATTAGCATTTGGTACTTGGAATGCCTGGAAACACTGCAGAGGATCTAGCTATACCATGGTTTAGCTTTTGCTGATATATGGGTCTAGAAACCTTACTGTTCTTTATTGCAGCATTTCTATGGGAAAATATTTTCCCACTTATAATCATTTAATCTTACCTGAAAATTTGGACACTGTATACTGTATTAAATCTCATCTATATAAAAAAAGTTAAAATCCTCTAGGTTTTAGTTTTCAATTCAGTTTATTTCTTGCATATTAAGGGAGAGAAAAAAATATTTATAGGCTACAAGCTGTCTTCCAGTGAAACAGCAGATGGTATCAGTTTGTGCTTTAACAATTGTACTTTTCTGCCTGTCATTATGAAGCGGGAATAAAAAGCACATTATGCTTTGATGATTTAGAAAGTCTTTAGACTGAATTTTTGTTGAAATATTGAACTATGATTTTAATTTCCCCCCTTTATTTCTGTTGTTGTTGTTGTTAAGTGCCGTCGAGTCATTTCTGACCCATAGCGACCCCATGCACAACAGAACGAAACACTGCCCGATCCCGCGCCATCCCCACAATCCCTGCTATACTTGAGCCCATCATCGCAGCCACCGTATCAATCCATCTCGTTGAAGGCCTCCCCCTCTTTCGTCGACCCTCCACCCTACCAAGCATGACATCCTTCTCCAGGGAATGGTCCCTTCTGACAACATGACCAAAATAGGTGAGACGAAGTCTGGCCATTCTTGCTTCCAAGGAGCATTCTGGCTGCACTTCCTCCAGGACAGATCTGTTAATTCTTTTAGCAGTCCATGGCACTTTCAGCATTCTTCGCCAGCACCACAACTCAAAAGCATCAACTCTTTTTCGGTCTTCCTTATTCATCCTTTATTTCTAGGTTGTTTAATGTCTTTTCATCACAGTCCTGCCACAATCTGGCTTTGTGGTTTAATTAATTTTACTTTATAGCTAAATGGGAAGCTAAAGGGAATTAAGTTGTAAAATTTTGTACTGAAGCAATAATAGAAGGGCAATATATATGTTATTGGACTTACCTTGTTTTACGACTTTTGAGGAATCCCAGTTTTCTGAATAGGTAATGAGGTATGGAGTTTGTAGCTTGAGTCTACATGTTCTTAGAGTACTGTGGATTCAGGTTTCATTCATTACGTTTTCACTAGTTTGCAAAGCTATCAAGGATATTACTAATGTTTTGTTGTTCTTCATTTTCAGAGGGAAGTGCAACATCTCCCATTTTTCTGACATATTTGCTGCAAGAGAGTTTAAAGCTCGAGTGGATTCATTTTTCTACATACTAGGCTACAACCCTGAGACAAGGTAAGTGAGGCACTTGGACCCACTCACTGATAACTTTTGCTTTTTTCACTTGCGTGCATGTGTATGTATGTGCGTGCTTATGTGTTCACACATCTAGGTATATACTAGTACCAAAAAAAAACTAAACCAAACTCAGTGCTATGGAGTTGGATCCAACTCATAGCAACCCCTCCTGGGTTTCTGAGGCAGTATTACTACTGAAGTAGATTGCCCTATCTTCCTTCTGAGGAATGGCTGGTGGGTTTGGACCACCAGCCTTCTGGTTAGCAATCAAAAGCCTTAGGCATGAAACCACTACAGCTCCTGGTTTATACGATTAAAATGTCCTATAGTAAACTTCTTTGGGAGGAGGTGTAATTAATATCTTTGGCATCTAGAACAGCTTATTATTTGTGTTTCCTTTTATTAAGGTGGAAAGAAGTGAAAACATTTAGGTCTAAAGAGGGAGAGAGAAAGACATAAATTTAGTTGGTCTGTGTTTCTAGCTTATAAAGAATTGTTAAGATTATTACCCTGATGTCCATTCAGTCAAGCTTTCTGTGATATCATATTGAAAGGGCTAGGACAACTTATGGAAAGTTAGTTGGTTACTTATTTATTTTGTTCCCTTTGATAATAAAAATCCAGTAACATTCACTGAAATATCTAGTAAGATTACTAGTATGAGTTGGATGCATCCATACTTAGCCATCTTGGTAAGATGTATTTAACAATTAGAATTATTAATAGTTTTTACATGAAAAACAATAGGGTCAAAATAATTTAATAGAAATAATTCTCCGTTTATATCTAAAATGGACTGTAGTTTAAAGTAGCAGACAGAAGAACTTTCCTAAGAGTGTTCTTATTTACTTGATGTTAGTCATGGGCCTGCATATTTTATTAAGGATTTGAGAAAAGGAATATTAGTAGGTGATCAAGTAGTCTGTGCTCTGAATCCCCAGAATATACCTGTATGTATGAAGGTTTAGAAATAAATAAGAGATGGTTGGCTCAAAGAAATTAGTGAAAGAATTACATTAAATGTTAAATGGGTATTGTTTTAGTGAATTTTTTTTACTAGTAGATGCTGAGAAACTGCATGTAAAGTTTAGAGTGTGGTTTAGACAGTCACTCTAGGGTCAGTAAAAGGAAACACATTATATACTATGATATATGAGGCTGCATCAAGAGTTTTGTTGGGAATTATAGATATATATCATTCAGTCAGTTTCTGTGTCAACAAATACCAGACCACAATAGTAGTAATAGTATAATGAACACCTCTTTTTTTTTTAGATAACAGTCAGGTTTGAGCTATCCTTTTCAAAAGTATGACAAGTTCTGATGACAAAGAAGTTGGGCATTGATAATATTTCAAAAGCATCTTATATTTTGAAATTTTTAGTTTATATATGAATTTTGTTGAGAGTCTTGTCTCAGTTTATTATTGCCCTGGTGAAGTATTGAACCCTTGAATTTGGATTTATATATTATCTCAGTGATGGTCAGGTTTATTTAACTACTTGATAAATATTTGTCATATTGCAAAGTCAGATATTGTATTCATAAATTAGCTAAATATCTTTTACATTTTAATGTTTAGATCTCAGATTCATAACAACCAACCAAATTTATTTTTATATATTTGTTACACATCCAGATATCCCGTATCTCACAATATCACAAGATCCAGTATCTTCAGTTTTTGCTGAATGCTTATTAAAGGTGGTCTATAACTTACCTATGTAAGCTAGAGACACGCAGGTTCCTGTCTCATTTTTCATTGTGTGTTGCTGGAAGTCATCCAGGGTGATACTTCCTTTTACTTTTGTTTAAAATGCAGGCTAGGAATGTATTAGAAGGATAATGTTTATCTTCAGCTTAGTGGAAAGTAACGCAAAGATGTACCTGTAGCAGCCTGTTTATAAGGTCTGCATCTTGAGTCCCTTCTAGTAATGCCTTGACCTTTTAGTGCCATTCATTCTCTTCTACACTTGTGTTCCCTGTGCCCAGCTTGTGCCTGGTATATAGAAGGGCTTGAGGAGTGCTGGATGACTTGAATGGAAGTAATCTACTTAAATGTAAAGTCTGAGGCAAATCTCAAACTTCTCACAATCAAAGAGTAGAGGCCTTTGTAAAAATGTACCACAGTGGAGCTAGTGACAACTCTCAGATTGAGCAGAGTTGTGCATGTGGCCTATGGCCCTCCTTTACTGGTCTCACCTGGAAGTCCCTTTGTATTTCTAAAGATTGGGGTTGGGTCTGTAGTTCCCACAGCTGCTCAAATGATTGAAAGTGTGTATACAGTTTAACAGAGTAGAGAAAATCTGTGTGTTTCCTTTGGTTGGCTTATTTTTGACCTGATTCTTAGAATGCTCTGGGTGCTATCCGTGCAGAATTCACCTGTGTTTTGGTCTGTGTTTCTACTTTATAAGGGGTAGGGCTGTGTGATGAGCTGGTTTCTGGTATAGTTCTCCCCCATGTTAATGTGTGGATTAGTGTGTAGTCATGGTTGAATGTGCTGTATGCTGACTCTTATATGACCCTGAGTCATGTAAATAAATATAAGTTAATGTGAAAGAAAATGTCAAACTGTTCTGATTGGGCAATAAACTTGTGAGATACTGGATTTCTAAGTAAGACCATTGGAAATTAAGGAGTGTTGATTCTGTCACTATAAACTTTGATGACTGTTTACTTCCCCTTAAAAAATGCAGGACCTTTACACCAAGTAAGTGGTTGAAACCGAAACTTATGATGAAATTGTTTTTATTTTTCATAGCTAGTTTTCTCATAGTAGTTGAAAGCTGATTTATGTAATTTTCCATAATTTATTTAGCATACCAGCTAGCTCTAAAAGTTTGAGATTTTTTTCAATTATTATACATCCTTTTTAAACCTCAGTCCTCTGCTACTTGTTTATTTTTTCCCTAATCTGGTGGTTATTTTTCTAACTGTTATATTTTGCTAGAGACCTAGCTGTCTATTTTGGTTATGACAGTATTACTACTTTATTGAACATATGTATGATAGAGGGAAATACTGATCTCTGTACTCTAGTTCTTTGTTTTTAAAATTTGTGGAAGATGGATTTGTTGGTGATTGTCATGAAATGACTTTGGAATTACTTATATTTATTTTTCTATTCAGAGTTACAGTCCTTAGTACTAATAAAACATCCATGATAATATAGATGCAATCTTTTATCTTCAGTTATGAAATCCTAAAGCTGAAAAAGAGAAAAGATTATACTGTTTGGTGCTTGTATTAGAATGGGTTCTCTAGAGAAACAAAAACCAGCAAAGCTTATACATATATAAAGAGAGAGAGAAATTTATCTTAGGCAAATGGCTCACAAACGTATAGAAGCCAGCAAGTCCTAAGTCCCTGGAGCAAATATCCAGCTAGAGGCTTTTCTTCGCTTCTGCAACCTCAGGGGCCAAGAAGCTCAAGGCTGGCAGGCAGCACACCAGCTGTTGACTCCAGCGAATGATGAATCCAAGATCTCCAGGCCAAACGGTGGACTGCTCACTCACAGACAGTTGTAGGTAGCACAACAGAATCCCGATCCACAGAAGAATGTCACTCTTCCCAGGATGTCCCTGGGTATCCTGGAAGCAGGCCACACCCCTAGGGAAACTCCCCCTGAATAGATACCCATCATGGAAACAACCACACAGAACTGGGGTCTAGCCAAGTTGACACAGAGCTCCAACTGTCCACAGTGCTAAAACTCATTTAGTGGTGAAACATGCCCTAGACTGATGTGAGGCTGTTTTTATCCTTAATTTAGTTGACTTTGTGTGAATTTGTATACATTTTACTGAAAAAAAAAAAAAAAAACTAATATGAAAGAATATGGGTTGTTATTCAGATATTGCTGAGGTCCCAACATACTCTATGGGGTAATCACCTTTCTAAAACCCAGAGAATTCTGAAAATCTACTGACACCGCCCCCTCCCAAGAAAAAAGAATCTTCAGTAAAGTATTGTGTGTCTGTAATTGTGTTAGCCATGGCATTATAGGAGCAAAACTTAATTGGGCAAAATTATTTGGACAGATGTTTCTAGCTACAAACAGGATGCAAGCTACAAGAGGCTGACAAATGAGAGAGGCTTCAATCTAATTCTGACTTGAACTTTGAGCACTTAGGTAACTGGGCTTTTCTTCATGAGTGTGTTTGACATTTCTGTACCCAGGTAGCATATATGTTTGCTATATAAATGTTGTGCCTAAGGCATTTTGACTGCTAACCAGAAGACTGGCAGTTCAAACCCACCAGCCACTCCTTGGAAGGAAGGTTGGGGAGTCTACTTCCATAGTCATACCACGTCATAAACCCAAAGAAGGTTCACTGTGAGTCGGGTCCAACTTGAGGGCATATAACAACAACAACATATGAACAAGATACAGCCCTCATTTATTTCTGCTGTCAGCATATTCTGCGAGAGTATTTTGTTTAAAGGGTTTGATCCCAAATCTGATTAAATACTTAATGAAGTCAACAAATTTCAGCTCACAGTCTTAATACATAAAGCCAATTCAGCTTTATAAACATTTATCCAAACACCAGTGTCCTTGGTTGCATTAAAATGGGGTGATTGTGGCATATAAAAAGAGATGAGCATAGGGATGTGGTTAAATGTGGCTCTTTATTGTCCTTAGATGCATTTATGTTTGTCCAGTACATCATAGCCATTATGAATGGCCAGCTGGAAGATGGTGCTCTACCCCCCTTAGATCTAGGCAGCCTGAGTTCTAATCCCGCTTGATCTTTTTTGTCTATTCGTGGGTAAGACAATTCTTTTTATTTAGACATTTATTTTCTGAACTCTGTTTCCACTTCAGCAAAATGGAGGTGGTAAAAGTTACCATGCAGGTAGTTTTTGTAAGCTGTCAAGTTTTTGTTGCTTCTTGAAACTGCAAAAAATAATGATAAATTTTATTTTCTGAAGAAAAGGTTGAAAAAAAAAGTTTTTTTTTTTTGTTAAATCCAACAGCAAAACATAAACTACCG